GTCTTTGGAACCTCCTTTCGTGGGGGCGAGGGAGATTTTTCAGAATTCACTTGTCCTAAAAACTATCACTGATGCTACAGGTGATACTATTTTTACTGCTTCTCTATCACCTTATTAGGTCGAGCACGATGTTAACGTTACTCAGACGCATGAGATTCATGATGTGCAACAACCTACACTTGCTGACCACCTTTGGACCAATCCATTGATCATATGAGTCAATCCTCGGATGAGAAATGACAGATTTACTCATCTAAGAAAAAGAAGAAGAATGAAGACCTACTTGAGCTCAGGAATATGATGAATGATACTTTGGTTACTTTGGGTAATGGTACGCACCTCACCAATTTGTTAGCAGACTCCCTTCCGAGAACTAGAGACAGAGGGATGACTAAATTGAGACGTCCTTAGCGCTTTGCGCCCATTGATGGTTTTGGTTTTTTGATCTTATATGTATCTTTTTTTTTAGATTTTATGTGTGTTGTATCGTGTGGGCTACTCATATCAGTTTGTCGGGCATTTGCTTGTCAGTTGTTAGTCCTTTCTAGTCTGGGGTTCGGTTCCCCCTGAGTGTAGGGTGTGATACTCGAATTCTGAGGCGCATGAGGGATGACTGAGACTCGTATAGTAGCCTCCGGCCATTCCTTTTTGAATATATATATATATATACATGTCGGTTTCCTAGATCAGTTGGTAGAGCATCAGATTTGTCCGTTATAAGTCCCTTCAAGTCTAGGGTTCGAATCCCCCCTTGCCTATGGGGTTGGTACTCGAGTGGTTAGGCGCATTAGGGGTGGTTGGGGCTCGTCTAATAGCCTCCGGTCATTTCTTTTAAAAAATTACACACACACTGTGTGTGTGACCTAAGCTGAGAACTTAATCCAAGTACAATTTTGTCTTATTTGTGTAGACATGTGTTACCGCTTTGGTAGGGTGTGTTATGAGAGTGATGAACACTAATTTGGGGGAAAAAAAAAAAAACTTTAGATACAATTTTCATTTCATTTCATTGTATATGGGATATTTTGTCGAAGGCATATTATGTCTACCACATGTTCATGTCAAACGTGTAAGGCTCCTTGAAATGTGTGTTTTGTAGATTTTTCTTGGAGTTTTCTTCTGGGAGAAGATCAATAGAAGACAAAGTTTCCTTTTCACTCTTTGATACAATTTTTTTGGGGAGGAATGAGGCTGGCATAGCGAGGGGAGGGTAAAAGTTTGAGCTAGGAGGTTTGGTGATATAGAAAGGAAGGTGGGCATATATTGAGAGAGAGAAAAAAGAGAGAATAAGAACGAGGAGAGGGAGAGAGGCGGCATGGATAAGAGAAATACTTGGCATGGGTTGGCCAGCTTTTATGATAGATGGAGTGGTACACTATTTTTATTATACGAGAGAGAGAGAGAGTGTCGGCAGGTATAAGAGAGACAGAATGAGGGAATAATAGGAGCAATATTAGTTGTATTAGGGTTTGGGTAAAAATGTAGAAATAGGATTTGTATGGTTCAGATTTTGAATCCTAGGAGATGATAGATCACAATTTTGGTGAGAGAAACCCAATTCTATGGGAGGAGAGAGGGAGTCAATTCTTGGGTTAAGCACTTATTTATAGGCATTCAAGGTCCCTGAAAAACCTAATTCCATTTGAGAATCTTGACTTATATGGTTGGTAGTGTTGTTAGCATAATGACATAACGTTCTAGTAGCTGATGGATTCCATTATCACCTTTACTTTTTGTGCATGCTTGCTCGACATTCTTTATTGGAGTATGTTCCGGTCAGCTCATACTATTTTTTTGGGGCATTTACATACATACCACCCAATTCCTATGTGTTTGTATTTCTCTCTCTCTCTCTCTCTCTACACACACACACACATCTAACACTTAAACTTTACTTTTTACATTTTATACTACCCATATCTTTCATATTACATAAAAAATACCACCATTTTTTCTTTTCAAAAGTGAAATACACGTTATCATTTATAGGTAAGGGGTATGTATGTAAAAATTGAAGTTTGTGTTAGATATGTAAATTCATAGGAATTAAATGGTATGTATGTAAATCTTCCTATTTTATTCCCGCGTATGCTTGCTTTGCGTATGTATTTGTGTAACAAGTTCATTGCTATTAATTGCACTATTCTTTGTTTCTTCTTCTTCAAAATTAATTGGATTTGTCATAACTTATGCTTATCAGTGCAGATCATTAGTGCGGGATTATGGATTCAGAACACAGATTACCAGAATTTAGTTGATTTTCAGGAGGGAAGTTTAACCGAGGGTTCTAAGATTCCTGATGTCTCGGGTGATGAATTCACAGTTTTATCTGCAAAGTTTTGGTCAAACTGGATAGGTTCGAGTGCTCGGCGGAGTAAATTGATTTTCAAATCCTGGAAGACTGACAAGGAATCGATTGAGACTCAGATAGATAATGCGTTATCTTCAAGTAGAAATGTTTTAGATGAGAAGGATGACAAATCTGTGATACAAGAGCAACATTCTTTTCCTCCTGTATCTGCGAGAGAGTCTCTAAATGCAGCATTGTTTCATTTCTGCAACAGATGGAGGATGCATCTTTTTTCTTTCTGGAAGTTTACGAAGCAGGTCTTTGAAAATGCTAATTATCTGTGGGTAAGAAGCTTTAGTGGTGATGTTGCTTTCAATAATTTATCTACTTGGTTATCCTAAATCACTTATTTTCTTGGAAAATTTACATGCTAGCACACAATTCTTATGTATTTACATATCTCACACCTAAACTTTCATATTTACATACATAGCACTTTGGTGCTTTAAACCCATGCATGAAAATATATATTTCACTTTTAAAAAGCAGTAATAGTGCTCCTTATGATGTATTAATAGTTGATTGCTATGTGTGTAAATTTGAAAGTTTAGGTGTGAGGTATGTAAATACATAAGAATTGTGTGCTATGTATGTAAATGCCCCTAATATATTTTTTTTACATATTTCATGTATGCCTATATGCACCTGAGGTTTAGTAGCAATCAGGGCTGGAACCGACATCTTTTTTGAAGGGGGATGGGGGCAAACTAACTCCCTAGATCTAATGTGGGAGGGGCTAGGGCAACGAAGGGCAAGTTAATACTTTAGGATGGACACAACGGATATTTAAGGAAGGATAAAAAACTAAATTGTTCTTCCTTATAAGTAAAAATTTGAATTTGAGGGGGGAGAGGCAATTGCTTGTCTAGGACCCTACACGGGTCCGCCCTTGGTAGCAATACAATAACAACAACAACAACAAAACCTTTATCCTACTAAGTGGGGTCGGCTACATGAATCTTTTTCTCCATTTCGTCCTATTTAGTGTCATATTTTCATTTAATTCTAATAAATTAACATCATTTTTTATACAATATGCCCAAGTCTGCCGAGGTCTATCTCTGCCTTTCTTAACATAAGTCGAATCTAAAACATCTACTCTTCTAATCGGATCATCAGATGGTCGACGTTTAATGTGACCAAACCATCTAAGACGTCTCTCTCTAATTTTGTCCGCCACTAGAGCCCTTGTTAGGAATGAAAGAATGTTTTGTTTTATGAATTATTTTTGTTATTGCTTTGAATTAAAAACCCTATGTTGTAGTTATATGCGCCTACTTGGCTACAACCAGAAAACTCTGGCTAGATGGCATGTGTGTGTGTGTGTTGTGTGTGTTGTGTGTGTTGTGTGTGTGTGTATTAAAATTTTAACTTTGTTGTTACTTATGCAGGGAAAAACCTTACAAACCACAACCAAAGTTTTAAATAAAGAATGTCTTATTTGAGCACTATTTTCCTTAAATATTGCATACATCCCGAGCCCTTACGCAAACCTGTTGGTAGGAATGTATGTTCACACAAGCATTGTATAATGAACTTCTCATGCAAAACTTGTTAATTACTTCCATTACGTCCGAATTTCTATGTATACAAGCTATTCAATATTCCAACTCGAATTTGTTTGATTCCAAGCTTCAAGAGCTATTTGTCTCGATCTGTATCTTTCTACTTGTAATAGAAGTTGGTATTTATTATTGATTCAATTTGGATGTGTTTTCCTGAGATTGGGCTTTTATCCAAGTGATATGAGCCTAGCATAATTGTGTTTGAGATCAATTTAAGCCATGCTTAATTGAATCAAACCAGCTCTCTCTCTCTCTCTCTCTCTCAAGCGCAGACACACACACACAAACACATACGCGCGCATGGGGTCAACAGTTTGATACGAAGATTGAAGATATCTTAGAGAGAACATCTCTCTCTCTCTCTCTCTCTCTCTCTCTCTCTATATATATATATAGATTTGTTTTGCAGGTTTTTCTTTGGGTTATTTTTAATCTCCTTTTTTCTGCTTGAAGGAAACAGTAAATAGGTGCTGGAACCTTTTTGGCCTGGATAATATTAACGTTTCCAAAAGCCAGTGGGTTTTTTTCATTTTTGTTGTTGTTGTGTGGAACTTTGTTTTCAAGTTATTCAGGAAAGCAGCATTCAATAGGCTAAACATTGCAGCACTTTTGAGCATGCAGTAAAATTGCTCATTCCCCAAATTCACTTGGCCGAGATTAGAACATATATTGTCAAAATGAAAGTCTTTTTATTTTTACTAATGCACCCGCCTGTATGTGTTGGTCTTTGAAATCTTTAGTTTCAAACCAAATCAAGTCCTTGAAAGAATACCCTTTTCCTTTTTCTTTTCCTTTCACCCAGATATTCTCTGTTTTATTTTTTTTTATTCAAACTTTTTTTCTTAAAAATCTGAAATCTGTAGTCCCAAACCCAATTAAATCCACCTATTTGTTTGAAAAACAAATAAAACATCAAGAGCCATTACAACACACATTAAGCTTAGTCTTGTCCCTGCACCTGCACCGTTAATATCGTTCACCAATGGAAGAATAACCCTCAACGCGAACGATCATTAATGTTAACCTCTTCTTTATGATGGCTCTCTTGATCTTACTTCTCGTCTAGTTTCTTCCTTACAACCATTCTTCTTAGGCGCTCTCCTTTTTTTTTTCCATTCCCTTTTTTATTAATTAATTTCTCATCACCGAGCATACCATTTACTACAAAGTACATAAATTATAAACATCAATTATTATAGTAAAATAAATGTTCATCCTGGCCATCACAAAGTTTATATCATCTCTTCCGCATCAAAACCCATTAGTTCTTTTAGTTCAATCTTAAAGATTGCCCTCCTAGTCCTTACTTGGTAGCCATACAAATAAAAAGATAACATAGCTGGGGTTTTTAAGATTAGATGGCCAACCCACATGGATAATTGCCTTCCTATTTCTTACTTCCCAATCTTTCTGTTGAGGGGCTGTTAAAGCTGAAATGCCTGGGACATTCATCGATTCTCTTTTTTATTGTTGGATTGGATAATTTAGAGACAATAACTCGGAGTTCTGCAGGGTGTTGAGGAGTATAATTTTGATGTTTGCAGTAGTGATGCCAAAATTTTTATGCTCATCTTCTTTCTACAGCGAATTGCAAACTTTCATATTCATCACATTGTCTATTCTCTTGGAGGAATGCATCGGGCCTATTGTGTGATAGAAAAGTACTGCTTAGACTTAAAGAAAAATATTTATAAGATGGCGGTGAGACCCACAATGCTTTATCACTTTGAATGTTAGCATTTAAAAGAGAATTATAAAACTAAGTTAAGCGTTATTAATATGAGAATGCATAGGTGGATGAATGGCTTGCACTTAGACAAAATGCTAAATGAATGTATCCGTGAAAGGGTTGGTGTAGCTCTAGTGGCAGTCAAGATTAGAGTGAGTCGTCTCAGATGGTTTGGTCACATTAAACGTTGACAATCTCATGTGGATGTTATAGACTTATGTTATTAAAGGTAGAGGTACTTCTAAAAAGACTTGGACATATTATATAAAAAATGATCTTAATTTATTAAATTAAATGAAATATGACACTTACTAGCACACAATGGAGAAAAAAGGATTCATGTGGGATAAAAGCTTATTGTATATATATATGACATCGTCTTCTCGCACGCTCTGCTCGAACCCTAGCCTGTTATGACAATTTATCGCATCTGATCCTTTTCTCTCCTAACCGCGTCTTCTTCTTCGTCGCCGTTTTGGAAAGTTGCGGCAGTCTTTCCTCCTCCTCGTCATCGTCTGGAAGGTCCACCGCTCTCCTTTCCTTCGTCGTAGTAGCCTCTCGTCTTCTTCCTCGCCGCGTTTTTTTCTTCCGCAATCCTCAGGCTCAAGCATAAACCACCCTCTATTCGAGCAGAAGCCGCCCTTCGTCGTCGTCGTCGCCTCGTCTTCTTTCTCGCTGCATTTTTTTTCTCGCAATCCTTGGGCTCGAGCAGAGACCACAGTGGTTCCCCCTTTCGGATTTTGCTCTACCGTCCACTATAATTTCGTTGCTCTTTCGCCTTGCCCCCCTTTTTTTGGCAATGGCTTCAGACAGATCGTATGCTACTGCCCTGACGGGTGTCCATCCATGTTTCAGGTACTCTTAAATCGTGCTTTTCCCTCCTTTTGAGTTGGTGGATGACATAAAAAAACTGGTAGGAAGAATGATAAGCTTGCCATCTTTTTTACAGAAGCTGAATATCTTTGTGGACACTATTTTGGTTGAGGAGTTACCTGTTGGAAACTGTCGGCCGCCGGAATCGAAATTCCCATATCTTTATAATTCAAATGAAAGAGCACTACACCTCAAGTCATGTATCTATTCTGAAAGATAAACACAATACTTGAGGGTGAGACTCGATCAAATAAACTAAGAAATATATGACATCCGTTTAGTCTGCGAAAATCATTTTATTTATAAGCTGTCAAGTTCTCCTACTTAATATGAAAAATTAAATATGTTTATATTAAACTGAGTTCGAAAAAACTTCTTATAAGGGCAAACTTCTATAGTTAATTACATCTTAAATGACCGAAGTCACTCAAGAAAACTCTCGATAAAAACCAGAGAATGTTATCTTCAAGGAGTTCAAAGGATTAAGATTTTTCAACAAAATCGAACAAAGATGTGTGAAAGGAGAATTTATCAAATTTGGAACATTTATTTTGGAATCCAAAGGAAGAGAGACTAGGAGATGTCATATATCCGGAGGAGAACCCCGGTGACTTCCCAAACTACCCTATAGTTTGGCTTCAGTTTAGAGGAGAAATATTTTAAATGTTTCATCCTGCCAATTTTATTAATTAGGGCTTACATTTGTGTGAAACGATCACACAAATAATCTGGAAGATGTGAGGATTTAGGTGATGACGGACAACGTAACGAACGACAACCTCAGAATCCTAAGATGAGTTAAGGCTTAGATTGTACAACAAAGTTGTACAAAGGCCTAAAGAGATGTTGAGGATTTATGTTGCATTAGGCAAACAACCTCGAAATCTTATGGTTTGTTGTTTAATTCTAAAACAATGATAGTTTAGCTGGTGTAAACATGTTCTGCTGTTGAAGATAGTCGTGCTGCCCATAGTGCTAGCTTCAAGCTCCATGTCGTAGCATCTTCGAGTTCGATGTTAATTTTAAATGTACATGCAACTGTTGAGTCAACGATCTGCTGCTGGGTACCTCCTATAAAATCAACTACCGACCTTCTACTCTAAGGTATAGTGTGTAA